GCCTCACGCCAGGCTGGAGTGCAATGGCATGATCTGATCCACACAGCAAGCTCTGCCTCCGGGTTCACACCATTCTCCTGCCTCAGCCTTGAGTAGCTGGGACTGTGCAGACACCCGTCATTCACACCCGGCTAATTTTTTTGTATTGTTTTTAGTAGCTACGGGGTTTCACCATGTTAGCCAGATGGTCTGATCTCCTGACCTCATGATCCACCCGGCCTCGGCCCTCCCAGTACTGGGTGCTCACAGGCATGAGCCACCTCGCCTGGCCTATTTATTTATTTTTGAGACAGAGTCTTGTTTTGTTGCCCAGGTTGGATGCAGTGGCCTGATTTCAGCTTTACTGCAACCTCCACCTCCCAGGTTCAAGCCATTCTCCAGCCTCAGCCTCCCAAGTGGCTGGGAATACAGGTGCCCGCCACCACAACCGGCTAATTTTTGTATTTTTAGTAGAGACGAGGTTTCACCATGTTGCCCAGGCTGGTCTCGAACTCCTGACCTCAGGTGATCCACCCCGCCCCCAGCCTCCCAGTACTGGGATTCCAGACATGAGCCATCACGCCCGGCCATATTGTTGGAACATTTATGCTCATAATGCACCCTGCAAAGGCCCACACTGAGCAGACACACCGTCCATTCTCTCCTTTGTTTGATAATGATTTACTGAGCACTCTATGTGCGCACATGGATCTAGGACATAGGGGCTGTGAGCTCAGCTGACTTCCCAAGACCACAGCCTAGTGAGGAGATAGACAACAGGCAAACAAATGTTATACTGCATGTGATGATGTGTTTTGAAGAACCAGAGGAGGGAAGCTGGGGCCCAGGGCACTCCCAAAAAAACAACACCAGAAGGAGGGTGAGAATAGAGAGGGAGGTAGGACATCTGACCTCTGAGGACTGTAGTTCAAGGCTGAGGGATTCCGGGAATAGGTTGAGGCGAGAGATGGCGGGAGATGAGGTAGGAAGGACGCAGGAGGGCTTAGGCTGGAGGTGACACTCGAAAGACAAGCATCACAAAGATTTGTCCTGGGCACAAAGACCCAGACCTCTGGTTCTTCCCAAGCCTAAGGATCTTCCATGGCGCAGCCTCGCTCCTAGAGACCTGAGCTGCTATCGGATATCCAGCGCTAGTTACGAGTGCTCCTGGCAAAGAGGGTCCCACAGCTGGGGTCAGCCACTTCTCTGCGGTGCTGGTGAGGACTCCCTCTACCATTCCTAAACCCTCACCCACCATCCCACTCTTGCTCCAACCCCTCTGGTGCCCTCACTCGGATGCGTGATCTTACAATAACACACTCCTCCCTGGGCTTCTGTTTTCATCTAAGAAGAAAGGGTTGGAGGATTGTGGTGGGGGGATGGTCAGCGAGGGTAGGCATCCCAGGGTGGGGTGGCCATGAGGGTCTCTCTAGTCCTTCTTTTTCTTCACCCTTTCACTTATCCATCCATCCATCCATCCATCCATCCATCCATCCATCCATCCATCCTTCCATCCATCCTCCCATCCATCCATCCATCCATCCATCCATCCATCCATCCATCCATCCTTCCATCCATCCATGCATCTACTTACTTGTTTCTTTTTTCTTTTTTGAGATGGGAGGTTGCCTGTTAGCAGCCCAGGCGGGAGTGCAGTGGCATGATCCCCAGCTCATGGCAACCTCTCTGCCTCCCGAGTTACGGTGATTCTCCTGCCTCAGCCTCCCTGGGTAGCTGGGACTATAGGCACATGCCACCCCGCGCCTGCTAATTTGTATTCTTGTATATTTTAGTAGAGACAGGGTCTCACCACGTTGGCCAGGCTGGTCTTAAACTCCTGCACTCCAGCCTGGGCGACAGAACGAGACTCCATCTCCAAACAAACAAACAAACAAACCCATAAATGATGTTGATTTAGTGCAATAAAGTCGGCTGTGGGGTCCACCAGGACCCCAGACACTGACACGCTCCTTCCTGCTGCAGCCTTAGCTCCGGGCGCCTGTTGCTACTGGCCGCAGGCCTGTGCCACCAGGGCTGCAGTTCTCCTCGACTAGGCCGGGTGTCTGTGGCGTACACACCGTCACTCTGTGGAATCCTGGGCCAGGAACCAGACAGAGAAGTCTCCTGAGGTGACCCCAGTACTCTACACGTCAGGTTAGCACCTTGTTCTCCCCGCTGTCCCTTTTATACCCAGAGGCCATCAGGCTGCAAGGCTGGATGGAGCTGGAGTGGGATTCTGCCCCTGGCAAGAGACTGATACTACTAGCCATTGTCACTTCATGTAGTGTCACACAAACACTATTGTGGCAGCAGTTCCTTTCATGGTCCTCTACTAATCCCCTATTCCTGGGCACTTAGGCTGCTTCTGGTTTCTCTCTCTGCTGTCCATAATAATGCTACAATAGGAGCTGCTTGGGTTCTTAATATCTGTTCTCATGACTCAACACCATGTATTTGTCTGGTGCGTGCTCGCCTGTAATCCCAGCACTTTGGGAGGCTGAGGTGGGCGGATCACGAGGTCGAGAGATCGATACCATCCTGGCCAACATGGTTAAACTCCATCTCTACTAACAGGAAATTAGCCAGGCGCAGGCCACGCGCGCCCGTAGTCCCAGCTACTGGGGAGGTTGAGGCAGGAGAATCATTTGAACCCAGGAGGCAAAGGTTGCAGTGAGCCGATATTGAGCCAATTGGACGCCAACCTGGCGACAGAGCGGGATCGCATCTAAAAAAACAATAGCAACACACACAAAAAGGCAAAACATTTGCCTGGTGTGGTGGCGCGTGCCCGCGCTGCAATCCCAGCTACTCCAGGACGCTGAGGCAGGAGAATGGCTTGAATCTGGGAGGCAGAGGTTGCAGTGAGCCGAGATCACACCACTGCACTCCAGCCTGGGTGACAGAGCAAGACGCTGTCTCAAAAAAAAAAAAAACAAAGAAAAGAAAAGAATGAAGGAAACTGCCATTGGCTACAACACGGACAAAGCTGGAGGACATTATGTGTGAAGTTAACCAGGCACAGAACAAAAAATATTGCATGATCTTCACTGACATGTATAATCTTTAAAAAAAAAAAGGTCGAATATCTAGACACTGGAAAGTGAACTGTAAGTTACTGGGATGTAGAGAAGGAGGAAATGGGGGAGATGTAGGTCAAAGAATAAATTGTTACGCAGCATAAAATAAGTCTAGAGTTCCAATGTACAGTAGAGAACTATAATTAAAAATAGCATATTGTATATTGAAAATTTGCTAAAATAACAGATTTTAGGGCTGGGTGCGGTGGTTCACGCCTGTAATCCTAGCACTTCGGGAGGCTAAGGTGGGAGGATCACCTGAAGTCAGGAGTTCAAGACCAGCCTGACCAACATGGTGAAACCCCGTCTCTACTAAAAATACAAAAATTAGCCGGGTGTGGTGGCGGGCACCTGTAATTCCAGCTACTTGGGAGGCTGAGGCAGGAGAATCGCTTGAACCTGGGATGGAGGTTACAGTGAACCAAGATCATGCCACTGCACTCCAGCCTAGGTGACAAAGCGAGACTCTGTCTCAAAAAAAAAAAAAAAAAAAAAAAAAAAATTAGGTGTTCTCATCACACATCAAAAAAGTAATTATAGAAGGTGATGGATATGTGTGTGTGTGTATATATATATATATTTAAGAGATGGGGTCTTGCTATGCTGGCCAGGGTGGTCTTAAACTCCTGGGCTCAAATGATCCTCCCGCCTTGGCCTCCCAAAGTGTTTGGAGTATAGGCGTGGGCCCCTGTGCCTGGCCATGGACATGTTACATTGCTTACTGTAGTAAACATTTCACTATGGATATGTACATCAAACCATCATACCCTTTAAATTTATACGATGATATAATAAAGAATCAGGCAGGGTATGGCCACAGTGCAGCAAGACTAATTTATGTTAATTTATGTCTCTCCTTAGGTCAGGTTCCTTGAAACGGATCTAAAAACTAAGTACAATTTCCCTGAGAGTTCTAAAAAAAAAAAAAAAAAAAAAGATTTGGCTGGGCACAGTGGCTCATGCCTGTAATCCCAGCACTTTGGGAGGCGGAGGTGGGCGGATCACCCTCAAAAGCAGGCACTTTTGTGAATTGCTTGTCAGAATCAATTATCCTCTGCCCAAGCAATTCACAAAAGTACCTGTCTCTTCACAGCCTTGCCAGCAATGGGTGTTAATATTTTAAAGTTATCTTCACTTAGCAGGATCCTGTGTATCAATCTTTATGAAAAATTATTTATTTATTTTTAAATTTTAATTTAATTTAATTTAACTTATTTATTTTTTTGAGACAGAGTCTCGCTCTGTCACCCAGGCTGGAGGGCAGTGGTGCGATCTCGTCTAACTACAACCTCCGCCTCCCGGGTTCAAGTGATTCTCCTGCCTCAGTCTCTCAAGTAGCTGGGATTACAGGCGCCCACCACCATGCCTGGCTAATTTTTGTATTTTTAGTAGAGATGGTGTTTCACCATGTTGGCCAGGTTGGTCTTAAACTCCTGACCTCAGATGATCCACCCGCCTTGGCCTCCCAAAGTGCTGGGATTACAGCCATGAGCTACTGTGCCTGGCCATATTTGTTGATTTTTTAGAGACAAGGTCTCCCTCTGTCTCCTAGACTGGAGTGCAGTGGTGCGATCAGGGCTCACTTCAGCCTCAACCTCCTAGGCTCAAGTGATCCTCCCATCTCACTCTCCTAAGTAGCTGGAACCACAGTCATGAACTACCATGCCCAGCTAATTTTTATGTAGAGATGGGGGTCTCACTATGTTGCCCCGGTTGGTCTCGAACTCCTGGACTCAAGTGATCTTCCTGCCTTGGCCTCCCAAAATGCTGGAATTACAGGGTGAGCCACCATATGTGGCTTGTGCATAAATCTTGACTCTTTGAATCATAGTATACCAGGCTTAGCTGGGACCTGCAAGGTGTCCGCTAATTCATATTTAGGGATTCAGTTGCTTACCCTGGACCGGGTAGATTTTCAGGGTCCATTAACTGACATACGTGTGGGCTGCCCCTCACCAATCCTTGCCTCTGCTTCCAGTTAAATATAAGCCTCCTCTGGGAGACATCAAGGTGTCCAAGTTGGCTGGGCAGCTGCGTATGGAGTGGGAGACCCCGGATAACCAGGTTGGTGCTGAGGTGCAGTTCCGGCACCGGACGCCCAGCAGCTCATGGAAGTTGGTGAGTTTATTTCCCAAGTCCAGGGTGGACACGGGCCTCTCCAGGGCACCTTCACCCCCAAATCAGTCTCACCATCACTGCGTCTGTCCCCGCTCCCAACTAACCCCCACTCTAGCCCCTCAGGTGGTTTCTTCTTTTTCTTTTTTCTTTTTTTTTGAGACGGAGCCTTGCTCTGTCGCTAAGGCTGGAGTGCAGTGGCACGATCTCAGCTTACTGCAACCTCCACCTCCCAGGTTCAAGCGATTGTCCTGCGTCAGCCTCCCGAGTAGCTGGGATTACAGGCATGCACCTGCCACCACGCACAGCTAATTTTTGTATTTTTAGTAGAGACGGGATTTCGCCATGTGGGCCACGCTGGTTTCAAACTCCTGACCTCAGGTCATCTGCCCACCTTGGCCTTCCAAAGTGCTGGGATTACAGGCACGAGCCATTGCGCCTGGCTCCCACTAAAATGTTTTAAAATAATTTTTTTCTTTTGGAATAATCTTCAATTTTCAGAAATGTTACTATATAAACTAGTGGAGAGAACGCCCATATACCCCTTACCCAAACTCCTCTAAATGTTAATGTCTTATGTAAACTCCAGGCATTATTTGAATGTCACCAATTTTTCCAGGAATGTCTTTTTTTCTGTTCCCAGATTCAATCCAGGATCCCACATTGTGTTTAGAAAAAATAATTATTAATTTTTAAAATTTAGTTATAATAATTTTTTACTGCTTTATATGTTTCTAAAGAAGATTTGAACCTAGAGAAGGTTCTCTAGTAATTAACTATAGAAATAATCCCTGAAGGTATAGTCTTTAATTTAAAAAAATTTAGCCAGGTGCGGTGGCTCACACCTGTAATCCCAGTACTTTGGGAGGCTGAGCTGGGGTGGGACTGCTTGAGGCCAGGAGTTTGAGACCAGCCTGGGCAACATGGCGAAACCCTGTCTCTACCAAAAATGCAAAAATTAGCCAGGTGTGATGGTGCGTGCCTGTAGTCCCAACTACTCAGGAGGCTGAGGCAGGAGGATCACGGAACCCTGGGAGGTTGAGGCTTCAGTGAGCCATAATTACGCCACTGCACTCCAGTCTAGATGACAGAGTGAGACCCTGTCTCAGATAAATAAGTAAATAAATAAATAATTGTAAAACAGCAAATATTTTTCAGCATTAAAACGCAAAACAATATATGAATACATTCTTATTCTAGGGCGACTGCGGACCTCAGGATGATGATACTGGTGAGAATAATAATAGTAATGACAACAACAGCTGCAACAAGTTGGCATTAATTGAGCGCCTACTGTATGCCAGGTCCAATGCTGAATTTTTTGTATGCCTCTTACCCTGCCTCATAGTTCAGTATTGGATTATTTCCATATTCCAAGTGGGGAAACAAATCAAGACTTGGAGGGGGTGAGAAGCCTTTGGCCAAGGTCATGACCCAAGGGATGGCCATGGCCAGGACTTGAACTGAGGGCAGGGATGGATGTGGGTGATCCTGGAGGCCCTAAGAGGACAGGGCCTGGCCTGCTTCTGCTGAGCCCCCAGGACCCAGCACATGGCTCTGTACACAGTTGGAGCTCGATAAGTGCATGATGGCTAAGTGACTGGTGCCAAGTCCCGGACAATTCTTACAGCCTGATGTTTGACCTGCTTCTCCCCAGAGTCCTGCCTCTGTCCCCTGGAGATGAATGTGGCCCAAGAATTCCAGCTCCGACGACGGCGGCTGGGGAGCCAGGGGAGTTCCTGGAGCAAGTGGAGCAGCCCTGTGTGTGTTCCCCCTGGTAAGATCACTCCGGGCACAGGAACAGGGGCAAGTGTTAGAAATAAGGAAGCAGCTGGAGGTGGTGGCACACCCCTGTAGTTCGAGCTGCTCAGAAGGCTGAGGCAGGATCACTTGAGGCCAGTGATTTGAGACCAACCTGGGCAACACAGTGAGACCCCATCTCGCGTGGTGGCTGATGCCTGTAATCCCAGCTACTTGGGAGGCTGAGGCAGGAGAATCGCTTGAACCCGGGAGGTGGAGGTTGCATTGATCGGAGATCACGCCACTGCACTCCAGCCTGGGCAACAGGGCCAGACTCTGTCTCAAAAAGTAAAATAATAATAATAATAATAAAATAAGATGGAAAAAGAAATAAGGCAGCAGGTATTGGAAATGAGGTGGTAAGTGTTAGAAATAAGGCAGAGGGAGAAATGGGTGTTCAAACCCTGACAATGCGGCATCTGGTCTTGCTACACTCACTTTAGGGTTTTTTGTTTTGTTCTGAGACAGTGTCTTGATCTGTCACCCAGGCTGGAGTGCAGTGGTGCGATCTTGGTTCACTGCAACCTCCGCCTCCCGGGTTCAAGTGATTCTCCTGCCTTAGCCTCCCGGGTAGGACTACAGGTGACCGCACCCTCACCCAGCTAATTTTTTTTATTTTTAGCAGAGATGGGGTTTAACCATGCTGGCCCGGCTGGTCTCGAACTCCTGGCCTCAAGTGATCGTCCCGCCTTGGTCTCACAAAGGGCTGGAATTCCAGGCACACGCCACTGCACTCCGCCCGCTACAGAGCTTTATCAAGTGAGAATCATCAGGCTGAACCTCACAGTGTCTCAAGGACAATGTCACCTGCAGGTGGCAGGGTGTACTAAATGGCTGCTGCCCTGACCCTGGGCAACAGGGAAATGAGTGAGAGGGTTTCAAACCATGCAGAAAGGCCTGGTGCTGTGGTTTATGCCTGTAATCCTAGCACTGTGGGAGGTTGAGGCCTGAGGATTGTTCGAGGCCAGGAGTTTGAGACAAGCCTGGGCATCAAAACGAGACCCTGTCTCTAGTCTATAAAACAACAGCAACAACAACAAAACCATGCCGAGAAGTACATTTGCATTCAAAGAGAAACTCAGAGGCCAGGCGAGGTGGCTCATGCCTATAATTCCAGCAGCTTGGGAGGCCGAGGCAAGCAGATCACAAGGTCAGGAGTTTGAGAACAGCCTGACCAACATGGTGAAACCCCGTCTCTACTAAAAATAAAAAATTAGCCAGGCGTGGTGGTGCATGCCTGTAGTCCCAGTTACTCGGAAGGCTGAGGCAGGAGAATCGCTTGAAACCGGGAGGCAGAGGTTGCAGTGAGCCAAGATCGCACCACTGTACTCCAGCCCGGGCAGTAGAAAACAAACGAAAAAACAAACAAACAAACAAAAAACCTTAGACAACATGAAATTACAGGTGGCAGTTATCCCTGGGGATGCGAACGGTGTTAATTTTTCTTCCTCCAGTTTTTTCTCTTTTCTACAATTTGGGGCAGCAAGGGATTTTCACTTTGTGAATGTGGAGAATCCATCATTTACAAAGAAAACATCCATCAGTCTTTCTCTCCTTCCAATTCGTCTGGTTGGTTTGGTTCTGATTGCAGAAAACCCCCCACAGCCTCAGGTGAGATTCTCAGTGGAGCAGCTGGGCCGGGACGGGAGGAGGCGGCTGACCCTGAAAGAGCAGGTAACGGGGCTGTCACAGGGCTGTGGGGTGGCCTGGGATGGGGAGCAGGAGGCAAAAGGCTGGAGGCCGACGAGCAAGTGGGAGATGGAGGGGGAAGAGAAGTAGAGGTGGCAGTAAGTAGGCAGATTGTGGGTTTAACTCTGAAGGTCATAGGGAGCCATGGAGTGTGTGTGAGCAGGGGAGGGACATGACTGGACTCAGATGTTCACAGGCTTTCCCTGGCTCCCGTGTGAGAAACAGAGTGTGTGGGAATTGCACAGAAGCCAGAAGGCCAGGAAGGAGACAATGATGACTGCATTTGCCTGGGTAGCAGGTTATTGCTTTTAGTCTCAAAACAGGCCGGGGGCGGTGGCTCACGCCTGTAATCCCAGCACTTTGGGAGGCCGAGGCGGGCGGATCACGAGGTCAGGAGATCGAGACCATCCTGGCAAACACGGTGAAACTCCATCTCTACTAAAAATACAAAAAAAAAAAAAAAAAAAAAAAAATTAGCCGGGCGTGGTGGCGGGCGCCTGTAGTCCCAGCTTCTCGGGAGGCTGAGGCAGGAGAATGGCGTGAACCCCAGAGGCGGCGAAGCCTGCAGTGAGCTGAGATTGTGCCACTGCACTCCAGCCTGGGCGACAGAGTGAGACTCTGTCTCAAAAAAAAAAAAAAAAAAAGTCCCAAAACAACCCATTAAGTGCAGTCTGATTAGCCCCATTTTACAGAGAGGGAAACTGAGGCACAGAGGGATTATTTCTGTTGAGACAAAACTGGCAAATATTCCATTCATTGACTTTACCATAGTCATCTTAGCCAGGTCCCTAATGGGCTGTTACTATAAGGCTGTAGCAAAAATCCTTTACTTCCTATGTTCCTCTAACTCAAATTCCTTTCCTAAGGAACAATGTCCTGCTTGAGGTAACTGGGTTAAAAGATGGAAACATTTTTTTTTCCTGAATGTCAGTGGGTTTTGTCAGTTTCCCACTTCCCCCAAGCTAGATGTGTGCGGGCGGTGAATGGCTATGTCACAGCAGCTTTGCCAGCATTGAGGTTTATTATTTTTTTAATTTTTCATGCATGTTATCAACTGTGGCCTTTGGCCAAGTCTGTCCTCATAGGCTGTGTCCTGCTGTCTCCCTATGGGATGATGAATGTGATCAGGTCCCCACAAGCTGTCTTTCATACTCCTGACAGCCAACCCAGCTGGAGCTTCCAGAAGGCTGTCAAGGGCCGGCACCTGGAGCGGAGGTCACCTACCAACTACAGCTCCACATGCTGTCCTGTCCGTGTAAGGCCAAGGCCACCAGGATCCTGCCCCTGAAGAAAATGCCCTATCTCTCGGGTGCTGCCTACAACGTGGCCATCATCTCCTCGAACCGATTTGGTCCTGGCCCAAACCAGACGTGGCACATTCCTGCTGACACCCACACAGGTGCCTCCTCTGGGTGGGGAGGGTGGTATGAGGGCCCCTCAGAGCTGAGCACCTACTCTGAGCCTCAGCTAGACCAAGGTGAGAGGAGTGAAGCAGAAAATTTTAAAGCAGTGCCTAATTTAGGGGTATATCAAAAAAATCAGTAATCAGCCGAGTGCAGTGGCTCATGCCTGTAATCCCCACGCTTTCGGAGGCCAAGGCAGGTGGATCATTTTTAGTATAGATGGGGTTTCACCATGTTGGCCAGGCTGGTCTCGAACTCCTGACCTCAGGTGATCCGCCTGCCTTGGCCTCCCAAAGCACTGGGACTACAGGCATGAGCCACCATGCCAGCCTAATTTTTGTATTAAAAAGTAGAGATGGAGTTTCACCATGTTGCCAAGGCTGGTCTCAAACACTTGCCCTCAGGTGATCCACCTGCCTCAGCCTCTCAAAGTGCTGGGATTACAGGTGTGAGCCACCGTGACCGACCTACTATTATTATTATTTTTGAGCTAGGTTCTCAGTCTGTTGGCAGACTGGAGTGCAATCATGGCTCACTGCAGCCATGAACTCCCAGACTCAAGTGATCCTTCCGCCTCAGCCTCCGGAGTAGCTGGGACTACAGACATGCACCACCACACCTGGTTAATTTTTAATTTTTATTTTTTGTAGAGACGGGTCTCCCTATGTTGCCCCGGCTGGTCTCGAACTCCTGGGCTCAAGCGATCCACCCATCTCCACCTCCCAAAGTGCTAGGATTACAGGTGTGAGCCGCCACACCCAGCCTGGTCCCATATCATAGTGAAATAGTGCCTGTAAAATTCTCAGCATTGGCTTGGCACATGCAGTCGGTACTCAATAAACGGCTGTTGCTATCCCCAGAAATGCAAGCAGTATCCGTCCCTGACATTCGTGCAGACACCCTGGCGGGAGGGAGTGGGAGAGATTTGCCCAGGGACTGAGTGGGTGTGTGCTCGTGCTTCTGAGTTTGGCATGAGACCACCAGTGGAGCCAGACAGGCCGGGAAGCCTGGTCTTGCACCTCACTCTCCGCCCAGGCGAGGCAAGCGGTGGGCGGCCAGGTATCTGCCGCAGCCGGAGACGCCTACAAGGCTGGAGGTGGGTGTAATGGCAGTACAGGAAGGCCTCATGGTGAATATCCTGGCAAGGAGACAGCAGTTAGGCTGGAGGAGGACTCAGCTCATTCAAACACCATCTGCTGACTGGATGCGGCAGATCACGCCTGTATCCCAGCACTTTGGGAGGCCAAGGCAGGTGGATCACTGGAGGTCAGGAGTTTGAGACCAGCCTGGGCAACACGGTGAAACCCTGCCTCCACCAAAAAAAAAAAAAAAAAGAAAAGAAAAAAATTAGCCGGGCATGGTGGCACGTGCCTGTAGTCCCAGCTACTCTCGAGGCTGAGGCAGGAGAGTCGTTTGAACCCGGGAGGAGGAGGTTGCAGGGAGCCGAGATCATGCCACTGCACTCCAGCCTGGGCGACAGAGCAAGACTCCATCTCCAAAGAAAAAAAAAAAACGCCATCTGCTACCCTCTTTGTGCCTGACTCCCCAGGCAGCCTCCAGTGCAGGGAAACAGCCAAACACAGACACCCCTGGTCTGTAGGGTCAGAGGTATAGACGAAAGTGTGGGAGAGAGGCTGCAGGAGCCAGAGAAGGGGGCTGGGGAGAGGGACGGCAACTGTCTGATGGGTCTCTCCCCTCTCCTTCCAGAACCAGTGACTCTGAATATCAGCGTCGGAACCAACGGAACCACTATGTCTTGGCCAGCCCGGGCTCAGAGCACGACGTACTGCATTGAATGGCAGCCCGTGGGCCAGGACGGAAGCCTTGCCACCTGCAACCTGACTGCGCCGCAAGACCCGGATCCGGCTGGAATGGGTAATGGCCTGGAATGGCCTGCCTCTGCTCCTCCTCTGTGCCCTCCCTTTTAGCTCCTGGTGGGTTCAAACCTGCAGGGAAGGCACATAGCGGGTGTCTAAGGCCCAGAGAGGTGTTGCTGCTTACTTGAGGTCACACAGAGGTAGGGACAGGGTGAGGTTCGGAGCCTCTCACCCATATGGGTCTGGAACCTCCTGCTGGCATCCTGAGCTCAGTTCCAGGCAGATCGCACACCTGCAGGTAATGAATCTCACATTCTAAGGTGTTTGTTAAATATTCAACTGCGCCAGGGAAGGTGGCAGTTTGTGAGATGCTGGTGGCAAATTAATGAGGAGTCTTTAGGGAAAGGGGGGACTGTGAGGCTCAGGTAGCCTCTCACTCTCCTGCTTCCTGCTCTGGGCCTTGCCAGAGCCCCAGAAAGCCTCAACCTCAGCCTGTTCCTTGAGGAATTCACAGCCTGAGGAGACAGAACTGGACACAGAACCCCTGACCCCACTGGCCTGGCAAGGTGGCTAACGCCTGTAATCCCAGCACTTCGGGAGGCTGAGGCAGGTGGATCACCTGATGTCAGGAGTTCGAGACCAGCCTGGCCAACATGGAGAAACCCTGTCTCTACTAAAAATATAAAAATTAGGCAGGCATGGTGATGCACATCTGTAATCCCAGCTGCTCAGGAGGCTGAGGCAGGAGAATACCTTGAACCCGGGAGGTGGAGATTGCAGTGAGTCAAGATCACACTATTGCACTCAAGCCTGGGTAACAGAGCAAAACTCCGCCTCAAAAAAAAAAAAAAAAAAAAAAAAAAGAAGCCCTGGTTCCATGGAGTAAGGGCTGGGTTAGAGGAGGATGGGGATGGGGTTGGGGGCATTGCATAGAGAGGAGATCCTGGAGGAGGGGATATTGGTGCAAGGGCTTTGAAGCATGAGTAGGAATTTTCTGGGGGTTCCCGGCAGATGGCACAGCCAATGCAAAGGTGCAGAGGTGGGAACACAATCTACTGAATGGCCTGGTCTTTGCTTATCCTTCCAGCAGCCTACAGCTGGAGTCGAGAGTCTGGGACAATGGGGCAGGAAAAGTGTTACCACATTACTATCTTTGCCTCTGCGCACCCAAAGAAGCTCACCTTGTGGTCTACGGTCCTGTCCACCTACCACTTTGGGGGCAATGGTAAGTGACCCAAACCTGCAGGTTTACATTATTTTTTCTTTTTAAATAATTAAAAAAAATAGAGGCTGGGCGTGGTGACTCACACATGTAATCCCAGCACTTTAGGAGGCCAAGGTGGGTGGATCACCTGAGGTCAGGAGTTTGAAACCAGCCTGGCCAACATGGTGAAACACTGTCTCTACTAAAAATACAAAAATTAGCCAGGTGTGGTGGTGGGTGCCTGTAATCCCAGCTTCTCGGGAGGCTGAGGCAGGAGAATTGCTTGAACCCACCCATGAGGCAGAGGTTGCAGTGAGCTGAAATCGTGTCACTGTACTCCAGCCTGGGCGACAGAGCAAGAATCTGTCTCAAAATAAATAAATAAAATAAAATAGAGACAGGGTCTCGCTGTGTTGCCCAAGTTGGTCTCAAACTCCTGGACTAAAGCGATCCTCCCACCTTGGTCTCCTGAAGTGCTGGGATTATAGGTGTGAGCCGCTGTACTCAGCCACCTGCGGGTTTATCTCTGTGGAGGATTCAGCAGGAATTTTCAGTGTCAGGAGAAGAGAATGAGCATTTAGAGGCACCTGCAGCACGTCAGGCCAGACATATGGAGGTCAGGACAGTGGACAAAGACATTCTGAGTGGCATTGTTCATATTTTTCTTTTTTTGGAGACAGAGTCTTGCTCTATTTCCTAGGCTGGAATGCAGTGGCGCAATCATAGCTCACTGCAGCCTCGAACTCCTGGGATCAAGTGATCTTCCCACCTCGGCCTCCTGAGTAGCTGGGACTACAGGCATAGGCCACCATGGATGGCAAATTGTTTTCTTTCTGTAGAGACAGGGTCTTGCTATGTTGCTCAGGCTGGTCTTCTGGTCTTGAACTCTTGGGTTCAAGAGATCCACCAGCCTCAGCCTCCCAAAGTGCTGAGATCACAGGTGTGAGCCATTCTGTCTGGCTTAACAGCGTTGTCCTATTTTTTTTTTTTTTTTTTTTTTTTTGAGACAGCGTCTTGCCATGTTGCCCAGGTTGGAGTGCAATGGTGGCACAATCTTGGCTCACTACAACCTCCGCCTCCCGGGTTCAAGCGATTCTCCTGCCTCAGCCTCCCGAGTAGTTGGGATTATAGATGTGCGCTGCCATGCCTGGCTAATTTTTTGTATCTTTAGTAGAGACGGGGTTTCAGCCTGTTGGCCAGGCTGGTCTCAAACTCCTAATCTCGTGATCCACCTGCCTTGGCCTCCCAAAGTACTGGGATTACAGGTGTGAGCCACTGCGCCCGGCCAGCATTGTCCATTTTATAGATAGGAAAACTGAGGCCCAGGGAAGGAAAATGACAGTGACTGAGTGGCAGAACCAGAATTACAACCCAGCCCACCTGACTCTGTGCCAATGCTACCCCCGTCTCTGGACAGTGGGAGGCTGGGCATTCAGGAAGTGCTCAACCAGCACTCCATTTTTTTTTTTTTTGAGACAGAGTCTCACTCTCTGGCCCAGGCTGGAATGCAGTGGCACGGTCTTGGCTCACTGAAACCTCTGCCTCCTGAGTTCAAGCGATTCTCTTGTATCAGCCTCCTGAGTAGCTGGGATTACAGGCGCCCACCACCATGCCTGGCTAATTTTTGTAGTTTTAGTAGAAACAGGGTTTCACCATGTTGCTCAGGCTGGTCTCGAACTCCTAACCTTAAGTGAGCTGCCCTCCTTGGCCTCCCAAAGTCCTGGGATTACAGGCATGAGTCGCTGTGGTGGGCTTTTTTTTTTTTTTTTTTTTTTTTTTTTTTTTAAGACAGGGTCTTGCTCTGTCGCCCAGGCTGGAATGCAGTGGTACCATCTAGGCTCACTGCAACCTCTGCCTCCTGGACTCAAGTGATTCTCCTGACTCAGTCTCCTGAGTAGCTGGGATTACAGGTGCCCGCCACCATGCCTGGCTAATTTTAGTATTTTTAGTAGAGAAGGGGTTTTGCCATATTGGCCAGGCTGGTCTCGAACTCCTGGCCTCAAATGACTCACCCAACTCGGCCTCCCAAAGTACCGGGATTACAGGAGCGAGTCATTGTGGCAGGCCTCGACCAGCACTCTTGGCGTTTACTATGACAATGGTACTGGTTGCAGCCTCAGCAGCTGGGACACCGCACCACGTCTCGGTGAAGAATCATAGCTTGGACTCAGTGTCTGTGGACTGGGCACCATCCCTGCTGAGCACCTGTCCCGGCGTCCTAAAGGAGTATGTTGTCCGCTGCCGAGATGAAGACAGCAACCAGGTGTCAGGTACGTGAGGCAGTGCAGATGTGGCTCAGGTAAGAAGGGAGGATCCTAGCCTGAGATCTCCTTTGCTGTGTGACCCTGGGCACCTTGCTGTCCCTCTCTGAGCCTTGGTTATCAGACCCTTAAAACAAGAGAATTGGCTGGGCGCGGTAGCTCGGGCTTGTAATCCCAGCACTTTGGGAGGCCAAGGTGGGTCAATCAGCTGAGGTCAGGAGTTGGAGACCAGCCTGACCAACTTGGAGAAACCCCGTCTCTCCTAAAATATAAAATTAGCCGGGTATAGTGGTTCATGCCTGTAATCCCAGCTACTTGGGAGGCTGAGGCAGGAGAATTGCTTGAACCCGGGAGGTGGAGATTGCAGTGAGCCGAGATTGCACTGCTGCACTCCGGCCTGGGCGACAGAGTAAGAACTCTGTCTCAAAAAAACAAAAACAAAAACAAACAAAAAACAAAAACAAGATAATTAGACTTCAGGGTTTTGGTTTTTTTTTGAAATTAAATTAAATTAAATTTTTTTGAGATGGAGTCTCTCTCTGTTGCCCAGGCTGGAGTGCAGTGGCCGGATCTCGGCTCACTGCAAGTTCCGCCTCCCAGGTTTACGCCATTCTCCTGCCTCAGCCTCCCGAGTAGCTGGGACTACAGGTGCCTGCCACCGCGCCCGGCTAATTTTTTGTATTTTTAGTAGAGACGGGGTTTCACCGTGTTAGCCAGGATGGTCTCGATCTCCTGAACTCGTGATCTGCCCGTCTCGGCCTCCCAAAGTGCTGGGATTACAGGCGTGAGCCACTGCGCCCGGCCTTTTTTATTTTTAAATTTTATAGCCAGGGACTCACTCTGTGCCCAGGCTGGAGTGCAGTGGTGCCATCATAGTTCACTGCAGCCTCAACTTCCTGGGCTCAAGCGATCCTCCCACCTCAGCCTCCCTAGTAGCTGGAAACAGGTACACACCACCGTGCACAGTTAATATTTTATTTTTTGTAGAAACAAGGTCTTGCTATATTGCCCAGGCTGGGGTTTTTTTCTTTTTTTTTTCTTTTTGTGAGGGAGTCTGGCTCTGTCACCCAGGCTGGAGTGCAGTGGCACAGTATCAGCTCACTGCAACCTCCGCCTCCCGGGTTCAGGCAATTCTCCCGCCTCAGCCTCCCAAGTAGCTGGGATTACAGGCACCTGCCACCATGCCTGGCTAATTTTTGTATTTTTAGCAGAGACGGGGTTTCACTATGTTGACCAGGCTGATCTCGAGCTCTTGACCTCAGGTGAACCACCCGCCTTGGCCTCCCAAAGTGCTGGGATTAGTCATGAGCCACTGCACCCAGCTGAACTTGAGGGTCTTGATCACCCCTTGCAGACCCTGGAGAAGGCTGGGTGGGCACCAGCTAAGTGCTTATGGTGTGTTGGGTTCATCCATGGGAGGCTACCCCTCACATGTAGCAGCAGCTGGACTCTCATCAGGCAGGGATGACTTATCTCCATGCCACAGATGAGGAAACCGAGGCCTGGAGGGGGGATCTGATGAGGGACAGGAAAGCCCACAAAATGGGGTTTGGCTGGGAGGGTTCTTGACTTTCCCCAGGAAAGAGTTCAAGCGCACGTCGGTGGTGTTAGAAACTTTTACTGAAGTGGCCATGTACGGCAGCAGCAGAAGTCCTGCTCCTTGCAGAGCGGGAACACCCCACAGGCAGGGTAGTTACCTCTCACATTTATACCCGCTTTTAATTATATGCAAATGAAAGGTCAGTTTATGCAGAAATACCTAGGATGAGGGTGGTAACTTCCGGGTTGTGGGATCATTGCCATGGACAGGGGTGGTAAGTGCCATGGTAATGGTAAACTGACATGGCACACTGGTGGGCGTGTCTTATGGAAAGCCCAGCACCTGTTTTAGCTAGTCCTCAATTTGATCCTGTGTCCAAGCCCTGCCTCCAGGGGTCCCAGGACTCAGGGTTGCCTCTCCCACTGCAGAGCATCCCGTGCAGCCCACAGAGACCCAAGTAACCCTCAGTGACCTGCGGGCTGGTGTAGCCTACACAGTGCAGGTGCGAGCAGACACGGCGTGGCTGAGGGGTGCCTGGAGCCAGCCCCAGCGCTTCAGCATCAGTGAGTGGAGGGGGTGGGACCCAGTTATTTGCACTGCGCTTCCCATAATGATCTTAGCAGCCCTGCCCTCACCCTCATTCCCTCCATGGCTCCCTACTGCCCTCAGGAGAAAGCAGCAGCTCAACCTGCTCCCATTGCCTTCTCTTGCAGCTTCCTCTCACACTCCAGGAGCCTTGCCCATGCAGGCCCTTCCCTCCCTCCTGCCTAGAGTGTTTGTTTTCCCCACGGTCCAACTCCTATTCATCCTTCAAAACTCAGCTCAAAAGTTCCCTCCTCCAGCAAGCCTTCTCTGCCTCCTTCTGGCCATGCCCTTGTCTACAACTGTCCCTCCTCCCTGGTCTGACACCGTGGGTTGGGGGTAGATGTGTCAAAGTATCTGGGGGCTCTTGGGGAGGAGGGAGGTGCAGGAATCTGTTCATTGAGCGAGAAATAAATCAATGCAAAAATAAGGAGGACGCAGGCGAAGCCCGGTGCCGTGGCTCACGCCTGTAATCCCAGCACTTTGGGAGGCTGAGGCTGGAGGATTGCTTGAGCCCAGGAGTTCAAGACCAGCCTGGGCAACATGGTGAGACCTCATCTCTACAAAAAAAATATTTTAAAAATAGTGGGGTGTGGTGGTACACACCTGTAGTCTCAGCTACTCAGGAGGCTGAGGTAGGAGGATGGCTTGAGCCCAGGAGTTCAAGGTTGCAGTGAGCCGTGACCACACCACTGCACTCTGGCCTGGGCAACGGAGCAAGACCCTGTCTCAAAAAAAAAAAAAAAAAAAGAAGAAGAAGAAGGAGAAAGAAGAAGAAGAGGAAGAGGAAGAGAAGAAGAGGGAGGAGGAGAAGGAGGAGAAGGAAGAGAACAACGCAGGCTCTGTTGTCTGGGGTGCATGGTTACAAGAGATTCAGAGATCAAATGATCCCTGTACATGCCACGGTGTCCTTTCAGTTCCAAGAGAACCAACTAGAACCCAGAGAACAAAAGAGTCAGGGTTGGTGTGGGGCAGGCAGGCCTGGGTCCAGGGGCAGTCACATGTGCCCTATGTGTAGGCTATTGGAATTACGGAGTCTTTTTTTTTTTTTTTTTTGAGACAGATTTTCTCTCGTGTTGCCCAGGCTGGAGTACAATGATGCGATCTCGGCTCACTGAAACCTCCACCTCCCGGGTTCAAGCGATTCTTCTGTCTCAGCCTCCCGAGTAGTGGGGATTACAGGCGCCCGCCACCACGCCCAGCTAATTTTTGTATTTTTATTTATATTTATATTTTTATTTTTGAGACAGAGTCTCGCTCTGTCGCCCAGGCTGGAGTGCAGTGGTGCGATCTCGGCTCACTGCAAGCTCCGCCTCCCGGGTTCACGCCATTCTCCTGCCTCAGCCTCCCGAGTAGCTGGGACTACAGGCACCCGCCACCACGCCCGGCTAATTTTTTGTATTTTTAGTAGAGACGGGGTTTCACCGTGGTCTCGATCTCCTGACCTTGTGATCCGCTCGCCTCGGCCTCCCAAAGTGCTGGGATTACAGGCGTGAGCCACCACGCCCGGCAATTTTTGTATTTTTAGTAGAGATGGGTTTCACCATATTGGTCAGGCTGGTCTCGAACTCCTGACCTCAGGTGATCTGCCCGCCTTGGCCTCCCAAAGTGCTGGGGTAACAAGCATGAGTCACTGTGCCCGGCCTGGAATTACAGAGTCTTGAACACTTCCTGCATGCCAGGCCTTTATTCCTTGATAGCTACCGGGCAGGTGGGTTCTGTGGTCTCCCAGTGAGAAGCTTGTGGTATGTGCACCAGGGTCAGCAGCAAGTTCATGGAGAAGCCAGGCCCTCCCAGCTCCTTCCCTGAGGAAGAGGCAGGAGGTAGCCCTCTGCCAACCCACGCTCTCCCACTCCAGAAGTGCAGGTTTCTGATTGGTTCATCTTCTTCGCCTCCCTGGGGAGCTTCCTGAGCATCCTTCTCGTGGGCGTCCTTGGCTACCTTGGCCTGAACAGGTAATTGACACCACTTACCGTTACCATAGCAATGGTAATGATGCCAGGCAGGGGAGCCCCAAAGTGGAGCTTAGCCCACTGATTGGGTTCTTGGCTCTGCCTAGGAAAGAATTCAAGGGCAAGCCAGAGGTAGAAGAAAACAGCTTTACTGAAGAAGCAGTTATAGCTCCGTGACTGCCTCTGCAGAGCACGGCTTCCCTGTAGGCGGAGATTAGCCACTGAGAGCAGTTTTGCAGTCAGATTTATACTTACTTTTAATTACATACAGATTAAGAGCGCAGTTTATGCAAAATTTCTTTTTCTTTTTTCTTTTATTTTCTTTTGTTGTTGTTGTTGTTGTTGTTTTGAGGTGGAGTCTTACTCTGTCACCCAGGCTAGAGTGCAGTGGCACGATCTTGGCTCACTGCAACCTCCTCTTCCCAGGTTCAAGCCATTCTTATGCCTCAGTCTTCCAAGTAGCTGGGACTACAGGTGCGTGCTGTCACACCCAGCTATTTCTTTTGTATTTTTAGTAGATACAGGGTTTCACCATGTTGGCCAGGCTGGTCTTGAACTCCTGACCTCAAGTGATCCTATGCAGAAATTTCTAGGGAAGGGTAGTAAGTTTTGGGTCCTTGGGTCATTCCCATGGAAAGGGGCGGCGACACTGGTGGGCATGTCTGATTGAAAGCTGCTTTCAAGCCAGGCGCAGCGGCTCATGCCTGTAATCCCAGCACTTTGGGGGGCTGAGGCAGGCAGATCGATTTAGGCCACAAATTGGATGCCAGTCTGGTCAACATGGTGAAAACTGTCTCTACTAAAAATGCAAAAATTAGCCGGGTGTGGTGGCACGCATTTGTAATCTCAGCTACTCGGGAGGCTGAGGCAGGAGAATCAGTTGAACCCAGGAGGCAGAGGTTGCAGTGAGCCTAGATCGCACCACTGCACTCCAGCCTGGGCAATAGAGCGAGACTCTATCTCCAAAAAAAAAAAAAAAAAAAAAAAAAAGGGGGTTCAGCTCCTCTCACCGTCCCCCTTTCCTCTTCAGGGCCACACGGCACCTGTGCCCGCCGCTGCCCACACCCTGTGCCAGCTCCGCCATTCAGTTCCCTGCAGGGAAGGAGGTAAGGACTCCTTTTCTAATCCTAAGTCTTTTTATTGGGTGCACACACTGGACAAGGGTCGCGTATAGCTCATTTTATTCTCCCCCAATCCATCAAGGTAAGAACTCCAAAACCAGTGCTCCAAACCCCTTCCCATTTTAAAGACAGGCAAGCAGAGGTCCATTTCCTGGCACTAGAAACAGAACTCAAAGTGGCTTTATTATAAAGGACACCTGATGGAAAAATCCTAAGGGAGTGGGCTTCTAGATATGGCTGAATCCAGCGACTGGGGTCTATCTCAGAGCTGCCCATTCAGGGTTCTCCCCCAGGCATGCTGAGCCTTCTCTGATTGGAAGCAGGGTGTCCATTCTCCCCATTAACTGGGGCAAAAGTCTCAGGGCCATCACTGATTGGTCCAGCTTGGTTCACAGGCTCTTCCCTGAGCCTATGGCTGGAACCAGAGGGTTAGGGAAGGGTCTGAAGGGTGAGCTGGCCAGGGTCACATGACCAGTGCTAGAGCTGAGGTGGGGCCACTGCACTGTCAGCCACACCATCTGTGAAAAGAGGGGAGGGAAATTTCCCAAAGAGAGAGGGAAGTGCTCCTCCTAAGAGGGGCTGAATGGGGGTCAGTGAGGCAGAGTTCATCCTCAAATTGCTCTCAGGATATATATATATTTCTTTTTTTATGGAGTCTTGCAATATCACCCAGCCTGGAGTGCAGTGGCGCCATCTCGGCTCACTGCAACCTCTGCCTCCTGGGTTCAAATGATTCTCCTGCCTCAGCCTCCCAAGTAGCTGGGATTACAGGCGTGCACAACCAAGCTCAGCTAAGTTTTGTATTTTTAGTAGCGATGGGGTTTGGCCATGTTTGCCAGGCTGGTCTCAAACTGCTGACCTCAAGTGATCCACCCGCCTCAACCTCCCAAAGTGCGAGGATGACAGGTGTGAGCCAGTGCGCCCAGCCAGGTCTCAGGATTTTAGAGAATTTAGCCAGCAGAGACCCGGTCCGTTCCATCCTGCTGTGGATAGGAAGTAGAACTCTGCTCACAGCTGTGGCCCTACCCTCCCTCTGCAGACTTGGCAGTGGATCAACCCAGTGGACTTCCAGGAAGAGGCATCCCTGCAGGAGGCCCTGGTGGTGGAGATGTCCTGGGACAAAGGCGAGAGGAATGAGCTTCTTGAGAAGGCAGAGCTACCTGAGGGTGCCCCTGAGCTGGCCCTGGATACACAGCTGTCCTTGGAGGATGGAGACAGGTGCAAGGCCAAGGTCCTGGGGCCCGATGGGCCAGACGGTCAGGGGTGCAACCCTGCCCGGGGGTGGGGGGCTAGATGTCCATCGCTCCTGGAAGATCAGGGCCTGGAGGCTTGAGGGAGAAACGGGAACATCCACTTTGTCTTACAGACAGGAAGAGCGACTATCTCAATCACAACGGCTGGTTATTAAGTATTTATGGCATACCCAGCCCATTCCATCCACTCACATGATTCCCTACCAAATTCCCACAACCACCCCCTGAAAGGAACCATAAATGTTGTATTTTACAGATGTGATCACTGAGGCTCAGAGAGGGTGAGTGACTCGCCTGAGGCTACGCAGCACACACAGGAGTCAAATTTGGACCCAGATAACCCAGAGCTCCTCCAGGCTCCAGTGCACCTGCCTCCTCTCTGCCCGGCACCTGTTGCCACACATCCAGTGGGGGAACCCTAGATGCTGCCATGAAATAGAAGCTGCTGCACCCTGCTGGGCCTGGCATCCGTGGAGCAGGAGCAGACCCTGCCATTGACCTGTTCTGGAGTAGAATAGACTGGGAATGGGGGCAAAGGGGACTCAGACGGATCCCCGGACCCTGGGCTGGGCATCCACCCCCAGGAGCACTGGATGGGGAGTCTGGACTCAAGGGCCCCTGCAGCATTGTGGGGGTCTTGTAGCTCGGAGGATCCAGGCATATGGGGGAAGGGGACTGTAAACATTGTGGAAAAAATGATGGTCCTCCCATCCCACCCCCACGCCCCTAGAAAATGGGGGTGATGATAATGACCTTACACAGCTGTTCACAATCATCGTAAATGAGCCTCCTATTGGGTATCTTTTCCCGTTTGAAGCTTGAATGTCCTCAAAATCTCAAAACGCGAGCCTTTGAGTTCATTCATTCATTCATTCATTCATTCCACATATATTTATTAATCTCTTCCTCTGGGTCTCCTCCAGGAGCACCTAATCTGGGGGAGACAGAGCCAGATGAGAGCTGGGAACCCTGCTAAGCTGGGACTGAGCAGGGGAAGGGACGGCCTAGGGGGAGTGGAGCAGCCAGGCACTCCCGTAACAGGAACCGTGGTTTGCCCCTACGCTCTTTCCTCTTCACGCCCAGCAACTCACAGCAGGACCCTTGCCCCCTTACACACCCTGAATCCTCCCTCTTTCTGCCCACGCTCTGCGGCCGCCTCCCCCTGATCTCCACTGCGGTCTGAGCCGAGGTGTTGGGGGGCTCCTGAAATCCCACCCCAGTCCCGGCGATTAGCCGGTAGTCTCAGATTCCCCCCATGGCCACCAGGTGGCAACAGCGGCGCGCGCTTCCCCGGCCGGACCCGCCCTGCCTCCTCCTACCGTGTTTGCTAAACAGACTTTTCCGGTTTCAGAGGAGGGGGATTAAAGCCCAGAACTACTGAATTTTGTGGCAAAAAAGGATGAGACCTCTCGGGGAGAGACCTCTTGCAGCCAGTAGGGCCAGGAGGCAAGAGTCCCAGGCCCCGACCCTTTGGTGGGGGGACTTCCGTTTCCCCATGGATGTATCCAGATGGGGAAACAGAGGCCTGGGCTCCCGTGCCCTAGCCACACAGTGGTTGCTCAGAGCTTTGCAGATGCCCCCCACCCTGCTCCGGATCTGCCACATCCCAGCTTCTGCTCAAGCCGTTCCCTCCACCAGGCTTGCTCTCCCTTGAGCGTTTATCTTCCTTTTTTTTTCTTTTTGAGACGGAGTTTCGCTCTTGTTGCCCAAGCTGGAGTGCAGTGGCACAATCTTGGTTCACTGCAACCTCCGCCTCCCGGGTTCAAGTGATTTTCCTGCCTCAGCCTCCCAAGTAGCTGGGATTACAAGTGCCCGCCACCATGACCAGCTAAAAATGTTTTGTGTTTTTAGTAGAAATGGAGTTTCACCATGTTGGCCAGGCTCATCTCGAACTGCAGACCTCAAGATCCACCCGCCTTGGCCTCCCAAAGTGCTGGGATTGCAGGTGTGAGCCCTGGAGGCCCCTGGAGTTGGCCACAAACCCACCCCTATGCACAGTCTCTTGGATACGAAAAGTAGGAGACAGGCAATGTTTATTGTGTAGCAGCTGGGACTTTTGCCAGAGTGCATGGGGAAAATGTGCACCCTGCTTCCGCTAGTGGGAGGTTTAGCTGGACAGAGGGAAGCCTGGAGCTTGGAGCCTTTTTCCTTCCCACCGTGGGGACGCCTGCCTGAGAGAGGAGTCTGCAGGGAGGACAGCAGCACTGAGATGAAGCATTGGTTCCTGGATCCAGCCTTACCTGAAACCCGTTATTTTCTATCTGTTTCCTCTTTTTAAAAAAATATTTACCGGGCACAGTGGCTCATGCCTGTAATCGCAGCACTTTGGGAGGCCGAGGCAGGCAGATCACGAGGTCAGCAGATTGAGACCATCCTGGCTAACATGGTGAAACCCTGTCTCTACTAAAAATTCAAATATTAGCCGGGCGTGGTGGTGGGCGCCTGTAGTCCCAGCTACTTGGGAGGCTGAGGCAGGAGAATGACGTGAACCCGGGAGGCGGAGCTTGCAGTGAGCCGAGATGGCCCCACTGCGCTCCAGCCTAGGTGACAGAGCGAGACTCCATATCAAAAAAATATATAAAAATAAATAAATAAATAAATAAATAAATAAATAATTTAGACTGGGCACAGTGGCTCATACCTGTAATCCCAGCACTTTGGGAGGCCAAGGCAGGTGGATCACCTGAGGTCAGGAGTTTGAGACCAGCCTGGCCAACATGGCGAAACCCCGTCTCTACTAAAAATACAAAAATTAGCCGGGCATGGTGGCAAGTGCCTATAATCCCAGCTACTTAGGAGGCTGAAGCGGGAGAATCACTTGAACCTGGAAGGTGGTGGTTGCAATGAGCCGAGATTGTGCCCCTGCACTCCAGCCTGGGTGACAGAGCAAGACTTGGTCTCAAACATAAATAAATAAACAAATAAATAAATATTTTATTTTTATTTATTATTTATTATTTATTTTTTGAGACAGGGTCTCACTCTGTTGCCCAGGCTGCAGTGCAGTAGCGCCATCTTGGCTCACTGCAACCTCCACCTCCTGGGATCGAGTGATCCTCCAGCCTCAACCTCAGGCTCAAGCCACCACGCCCAGCTAATTTTTTTGTATTTTTTGTGGAGACGGGGTTTTGCCATGTTGCCCAGGCAGGTCTCGAACTGCTGAGTTCAAATGATCCACCTGCCTTGGCCTCCCAAAGTGCTGGGATTACAGGCATGAGCCACTGCACCCGGCCTCAGTTCCCTGTTTTGATGAAGCCACTTTGAGTCCTTTTTCTGCCCCTAGAAAATGACCAACAGGAGGTTCTTTCTGGGCCTCTGCTTGCCCATCTATAAAATAGGAAGGGGTTTGGAGTCCTTTTCTCAATGGGTTCAGCAAGTTTGCTTAGCAGGGCCCTGGCCTGGTAAATATTGAGCAAGGGCTGCTATACAACTATGACTCCAAGGCTCCTCAGAGCAGCCATGCCTCAGCTTCTCCCAGCAGCTCCGGGGTCAGGACAATGTTAGCCCCCATTTCACAGCTCAGTTTCATTCATTCATTTAAGAAATCAGGGTTGGACGTGGTGGCTCACACCTGTAATCCCAGCACTTTGGGAGGCCAAGGCGGGCTGATCGCTTAAGCTCAGGAGTTCGAGGCCAGCCTGGCCAACCTGGTGAAACCCCGTCTCTACTGAAAATACAAAAATTAGCCAAGTTTGGTGGCACACGCCTGTAGTCTCAGCTACTTGGGAGGCTGAGGGCTGAGGTGGGAGAATCACCTGAGCCTGGGGAGGTCAAGGTTGCAGTGAGCTGAGATCACACCACTGGACTCCAGCCTGGGTGACAAAGTGAGACCCTGTCTCAAAAAAAAAAAAAAAGTCAGCATTGAGTGCCTACTGTATACCAGGCCCCATCTTGCACAAGTCAGGATCTTCTTGATCATGAGGGACTCTTAGCTGGGTGGGAAGGCAGACACTAATCTAGTGATCACACAGAGAGTTATGAGAAACCGTAAGAGTGACGAGTGGGGATGTGAGGAGTAGGGAGTGAGGGAAGGCTTCCTGGAGGAGGCAATGCTTGACTAAGGTGGTAAAGAGGGGCCAGAAGAGGGAATGCAAAGGCCCTGAGGTGGCTAGTGGGGAATGGATGGGGGATGGGGGAAGAGGTTGTAGCCCACATGAGGCTGGGAGCGTTTGGGCCAGAGTTGTTTTTTTTCTTTTGAGATGGGGTCTCGTTCTCTCACCCAGGCTGGAGTGCAGTGGCGTGACCACAGTGCACTGCTGCCTCGACCTCTCAGGATCAACTGTTTCTCCTTCCTTAGCCTCCTGTGTAGCTAGAACCACAGACATGTGCCACCACGCTCAGCTTAGTTTATTTGATTATTTGTAGAGAGAGAGTTTCACCATATTTCCCAGGCTGGTCTCTTACTCCTAGGCTCAAGTGATCCTCCTGTCTTGGCCTCTCAACGTGCTGGGATTACAGGCATGAGCCACTGCACCCGTGGGCTAGGGTTTTCTTCTTAGGTTGTGGGGTCCTGAAGCTGGAGAGTCAGGGCCTGACTGGTGAGATGTTCAGAGTTTATTCTGGCTGCGGTTCAGCTGGAAGTAAGTGATTCATCTTGTGAGCCTCAGTTTTCTGGTCCATACAATGGATGTGGTTAGGCAGCCTCTCCAGAGTCTCTGCCCCTCTTCCCACCTCCCCTCCTCTGTCTCTGTCTTTCCTGATCCATCTTTTCCCTTCTTCACGCTCCCACCTATAGGTGGGAAGCCTGTCTCCATCAGGGAGATAAGCTGCCTCAGTTTACCTCCCCAGGTACCTTCCTTCTCTATCTCTCCAGTAGCCTCTGGGTTTGGTCAGAAACAGATGTTGTCTCTGCCTCTGCCCTTGAGCCAGGATGGGACTGAGGTGTCAGAGGTTTCTGGGGACCATGGGCTGCAGGAGATGACCCCTGGACTCAGGGTAGCTCCTGGCCTGGCCCCTGATACTTTATTATCTGTGCCCAGATGCCAAGCCTTCTGCCCAGGAAGCCCCTTCTTTTTTTTTTTTTCTTTTTTTTTGAGACAGAGTCTTGCTCTGTCGCCCGGGCTGGAGTGCAGTGGCGCGATCTCGGCTCACTGCAAGCTCCGCCTCCCGGGTTCACGCCATTCTCCTGCCTCA